CCTGTAGACCCTCCGTTTCCAGCGTTTCATCTTCGTCGATGTCGAGCCCCTTCCATACGTCCTCTACATCCTTGACCGATTCCGTGAGTTGTCTACGCCTCTTTTTGTTTGCCCACTTCACCTCCCATGCAATTCTCGGCAACCTCTCCTCTCCCATCCCGCGCATGCGATACTGTCATGTCAGCTTCCTCGCGTCTCTTCCCGACCGTAGGGATTGGATCCCCAATTCTGCCCTGATGGATGCATTACTTGTGCGCTTGGAGCATCCTAGGATGGTTTTCGCTGCTTTCATCTGCGCCGCTGATTGGGGGGGAGGAGTATTTCTTGCGCAGCACGTGGGATGAAAAGCAACCCTCGTCGCTCTCCGTATTGCAATGACTGCAACCCGAATCGTCAAATGTAGACTAGCACAAGTTTTCATACTCCTCTCCAACATGGTTCCTATGCATACATGGTACAGAGTTTCAGTACTGGCCTACTCTTACCGTGTGTATCATGTATGTTTAATGTGTCCCAAAACTGGAAATTAAAACATACACCCAAAACAAGGCAAACCACGCCCACCAAACCCATGCACATGCATATGACCAACCCAAAACGGCATCAGCAGAACTATGGTCCTGTCTTCTGCCACTAATTACCAGCTTGCTATTGATAGATTGCATACCAACAAGGCACCACCCGATGTGATCACCATGCTCTGCTTCCGAGAGTGGAGATGGTTTGCAGCTTGTGTACGTATGGATGAGAACGGTCGGGAAAACACGCGGGAGAGCAAACGCGCGAAAAAAAGAGACGGCAAACGAGGAAAGAGCACGACGAGCAGACACGGTACTCCCATGATCCGTGATAAATCATGAACGATGGATTCGAACCATCTCACCACCTGCCGTTTCCGTGTTACCACATCGTTTGCTAAGCATCAATTAAAGAAAACTAGTCCAGGAATGACTTAAGAGCAGTGGCCAAAATCGAGTACACCCGGTCCAACCACGGCCATAATCGGGTACCCCTACAAGATGCTGCTGCGAACGACCGCATGGTGCACCATCCGATTGGCCGACGCCAGCCCCTACCCGACCTTGACCGTCGTTCCACCGGGTGCACCCGATTTTGGCTACTCACCCCCTGGAGGGGTACCCGGTTTTTCTTTCCCCTACCCGAAAGTGGCTGGCTGTTCGGGCGAAACCCGTTCCCGCATGCACGTGTCAGCAATGCCCTGCCCTCGAATTCAGACGTTCCGACGGTGGGCAGAGGCGGACACACCGCCGGCGGTGGAACTCTCGCTTGGCGGAAACGGCAGGTGGTCGGTGCAAATAAATGATCAAGAAGAGCTGGTTGAAAATCTCAGTTACGAGTCGCGACGCACACGAGACGCTTGCATCTAAGAAATAGACACGATGACGTGCTCTCTGCCCCGCCTCTCTCTCACTGGCGACAAACGAGCGGCCAGCGGTGTGCGTATGACCCGTGATTGTGTGATGGGTTTTGCCCGAACAGCCCAGCCATTTCGGGTAGGGGAAAGGAAAATCGGGTATCCCAGGGGCGAGTAGCCAAGATCGGGTGCACCCGGTGGAATGACAGTCAAGGTCGGATAGGGGTGGGCGTCCGCCAATTAGATTATATCATGCGGTCGCTCCCAGCAGCATCTTGGGCACCCGATTATGGCCGTGGTTGGACCGGGTGTTGTACCCGATTTTGGCCGCTGCTCAATAATTGCAGTTGGCATCATATATATGCACACCACATGTCAGCACTGCACATGCAGCACTGCATGTGCTGTAATGTAGCAAGCAAATGCAGCTGTTGACTGTCAGTTTTTCAGTGAAAGAGAAAGGGCGGCACTATTTCAGGCGCGAATGTGGATAGGTATAGGTATAGATAGGCATACATGCAACGTGAGCTTGAAGTTACGAAGAAATCATGAAGCACACTGCTGTTGTGTAGTGGATGCGACATGCATGGGAGTTTGCTCTCCGAACCACTCCCGGTAGTACACGTGAAGGAAGGGGCTACGCAACGCACTTCCCCGAGTCACACCCCAATCTTTTTGTACACCTTTTGTGTGCAACAGCAGCAGCAGTCTAATGGTCGGGTGGGGCAGTGGGCGAGCGGTGGGCGAGTACTAGGATCCATCCAGTTACCGACAAAGCGGCCTATTGCGGGGGGTGTCACCGTGTTGTGTGTGTTGAAATCCCGCGCTGCCGCTGCTGTTGTGCTGCTGCTGCTCCAAACGCGTACCTCGTGTTGACAGTGTGCCAGTGCACCACCCCTGTCTTCGTGCACTGTCCATGCGACGCCTGGCTGGCTGTGCCTGCCTGCCTCGTGCGGGGTATTCTAACAAGAATAGAGTCGGTGTACTGCAGTATTGCTGCAGTCGAAACATATTTTGAGAGGAAAACGTACCTTGCCCGAATTCGACCGATCAGAATTCTTCTAGGGCCCACGCACAGCTCGGCTCTCTCCCCCACTGGCGCCCTCCCTGCTGGACGCACTCTATTCGGCGCGCACCTGCTGCTGTTCTTGCTTGGCGGCGCGCTAGAATGGAGGATCGCCAGGTGGGGGGGGGGCGGTGCTATGCGGTAATCTCCGGAGATCCACCCTAACAGATGGAGATCGAAAACAGCGATCGAAGAATCATGTATGGCGAGGCCAATGGATCGCAGAGGGATGTGCGAACGTTGATGACTAGATGCGATTGTATGATGGGTACACTGTCGCACTTAAGCCCGACCGCCCCCGTCGTGCCGGATGGACATGTGATGTAGATGATGGCCTTGGCAGTATGCATACAATGCAGCGAAGAATATTCTAGACTACATGTCAATCAATTACTGTAGGAACACCTGACTCAAAAGTACGACAGTCCAAGCGAGCGGTCCCTCCTGGCGAAGCAATTCCATCCACCGTTTGGACGGGTGAGCTGTAAGGTACGTGGTTGAGATATCTGCGTCATACTATACTGATGATGTAGGCTAGACAACGAATAGTCTAAGACTTTTGTAGTATAGTCGGGTGAAATTGAGTTAACGAACACCTTACACAAGTTTTTCCTTCTTGTTTTCAATGCAACATTAAACCTTCACTGCCTGCCCTCCTCGTGGAATTGCCACGTGGTATTGAAGGCATCCAGCCCAACCCAAAGGTTCGGCAAACAATATTGGCCTTGGCGTCGATAGCATCAAAAGCAGCTAATACTATGCACGCGGCCAAGACTTCTCGGTCATTATTCGCTCTCTAACGCACGCGCTGTTAACATACAGCGCAGACTTCCTTCAATCTTCACAAAACCCTTGGCAAAATACATGGCGGGCTGCTTACACTGGACATGGCATCTATCTAGATCAAAAACAACACAGGAGATGACGGCGACAACAAACAACGACAACGACGATGACGACGAAAGCAACATGTCACCGACGCCACCCTGCTTCTTCTACGCTATTCAACGTCCAGACAGGGTGATACAATAGTGCACTGCTTAGGATAGAGACAGCAAATGAATAGGATGACACGTACGTACACGAGGTGCACCTATACACTAAAGTGCTATGCGGAGACTTTTCCCGGCAGCCATGCAAACAATGACTGGCAAGGACCAATCAGAGATCTTGCCCACACGTGCAAACCTGACTTGGGACACACAAAAAACAGATGTTGCTCGTTCACAACGCGCCGAAGCCGAGCGTGGACACCCAATACTGAAGGGGAATGGACTGTCGGCTATCGGCTGCTAGACTCTGGAAAGAAACGCGGATCACACACAGCACGTCAAGAGGCCTCCTGCCCCACCATGGGCAGGTCTACAACAAGGATATTTTGGGGTGAATAGAGAACAATAAGAGGGGGGAAAACACTTGAAACACAAACTGTCGTACGAACAACACAACAACACACCTTTACCGCCCAAGATTTTTACAAACCCGTACGACAACACGCCTGCAAAGCTCGCCCTGCACAGAACACGCCACCCTCTGCTGTTTTTTCACCATACGCAGCGCTGCCGTGTGGAAACGAAAAAGCGACGCACATGGCACCTTGGCTGGCCGAGACGAAACGGGACTTTTATCGAAACACTAACCAACCTCCCGTATCAAGCAAGACGTATTGCCCCGCCATCCAACACGTCTCTCTGCACAAGATGTGTTCACCCGCCATCCAACATGGCCCTCTGGATGCCGTTCCGTGTACCCGGCCGGTTCATTTTTCTACTGCACATCGGGCCCAAACACACAACGGCAACGCCTATAACGGCGGCGGGGGTCGAGGAAGAGGCTGGAAGAGACGGCAACGCTCGCGGGTTCCTTGGGAAGGTGTCCTAATCGTACCGTCGATGCTGTCGAGAACGCCTTCGTACCACTCCCGGGAGGCGCACCTGCAATACAAGTAAACAGCGTTGCAAAGCACGTGACGACCACATTTTTTGAGAGCTGTATCTTCATGCACGACGGCAAGTAGTACGCGTATATCTGATGTATGCATCCACCTGCAGTCTTCCTCTCCGAAGTACGGCAAGAATCGGGGACATGGCACACCTGCGCGATCGCCATCACACCACAAACATGCGTGCGTGAGTCAGTCCCGAACCTTGAAACGTCACCGACCAGACGTCACCCATACTCAAACGGTATCGCCTTACTATCGTATTCACGTGTCGACTTTTGTTCATGTGGTTGCGTCTCGAAACGTGGGTAGGTACAAGACGGAGGCAGGGCTGACTGACACTCACCGCTCGCCCAGTAGGCTGGTGCCCAACTCGGCATGTACAGCGGGGTGCTCGAGCAAGCCCAGCTCGCTCAGACGAAAGCACATCTTCGCAGACACGACGTCGTACAGCTTTTGGTCAACCTTTGACGGGGGAAATCGAAAACGAACGGAGGGAAAAAAGGAACATCAAGACACAAAACCAGGATCGCTGGCATGTAAACGAATGCTGTAGTCGGTAGACCATAGACCTCACATCCCTACAATGCCGGGACGAAGCCCGCACAGGCTACGCTTCGCCAGGGCGAACCAGCAGCTGGCCATCATCCTCGGGAGGGAGTCAACCGGCACATCGCAGACGTTAGAACGCCGCGCCTGCACCACGCGATCGAGAGCAGGGAAACATCTCGTCGACCTAATTCAACACACTAAAAACGCTCCGAAGGGGCTCGGGGCGGTTGGCATCCGGTTCATGATGGATACCACCACTCTTCATCAGCAGAGGACGGAATGTAACTAACGCGTGTGGTCTTGCCTGATTGGCGGCCGAAGCAGTGTCCCGAAGATCCTGGGTGATGCACTGCACTCTCCCCGGTCCATCATCGTCGTGTCGCAACAGATCAAGCCTCCCTTTCTGGAGGTGTTCGGTCCCGGCGTCTAGGTCCCGTGAGTACGTACCGCCTACGGCAACAGGGGGGGGTGGCACTGGGTGAGCGAGAGGCCAGCTAGGGTGCAAAACGTTTCCAATCTAGCACGGAAAAGCTGACAGCTACATGTTGCTAGCCGCTAGTTATTTTTCATCGCCTATTCCGCACGTGCTCACTCAGATGCGCGGGATCTGTTTGTAGAAACAACAACACGCTACAAAACAACAACAGATGCTGGGGGTCGGAGGTGTCCGCAGCTGCAACACCAACCCTAATCAAACACAGCTATGCTACAGTAACGTGCTGGTTGGTCATGAAGGGCGAGCTGAGCCATTTCGGACCCTCTTTTGGCACCTCTACGCTTGTGTAAGGTCCGAAATAGTTGACTCGTGTCTTGCCAGAAGTCAACACAGCAGTCCCAACATTTTGCATCACAGCCCCACATCCCAATGCAATAGCATGACACTAGAGTAGCTTTTCATCACGAGCACGTTATCGAAGCACACCATTCGAATACCCTTCGCAAGCGTCGCAATTTTATCTGTCCTTCCTTCAAACCCGTGAATGTACGAACAAGTTCCGCGATAGTGAGAACGATAGGGCGGGGCAACCGGTACCGTTTCGGAACCGCACCAACTGGTTCTCCGCGAGGAAGGACGGTACCGGCTGCCGACACGCGGCGTCGTGGATGCTGCTGCTGCCAAGAAAATCGCGAGGAATAATGAACGTGGCAAAAATCTAGCATCCCTAACGAGCAGAGTTGGATCGTAGGTGATAAGCAGTCGAGCTTGAACCGAAGAGGGGAGGGGACGGGGTGAGCATTCAACACATCCGTTTTACCTTCAAAGCGCTTAGCTGGCGGCGGAAGGCCCTCGAAAAAGCTCTGGTCAGGTCGAATCCACGGCAGCGTTTCCAGCAACAACAGGGTCGACGTTGCAGGAGCTTCCCTGTGTTCCGTGTTGTAGTACGATGAAAAAAACGCAACATCAGGCACGGGCTAGAGAGGGACATGAGACGTACGCGACATGAGGACTCGTTGACCTTGATGATGAACATGTTGTGAAAGAACCTTCAAACAGACGCCGGCTCAGCTCGTTCCCGCAAATATCAAGCATTTGTGTGTTTGTGTGCGACCAGCAAGGAGAGTACTGTGGTGGCCAACGAGGCGATGTACGTTGACCGGAGCATGCGGAACCACCAGTGTATATAGCTCAAAGGTCGTGGGTGGTTTACCTTACAAGGACACGCTGAATGCCAGAATCAGGAGATAGCCAAAACACGAAACCAATGCTGGTGGTCGAGTCAAAAGAAGGAGGTGAGCGCTTCCTCAGTGGCGGGATCAGGGCAGGCACGTACGCAGAGGTTTATCAGGGGGGGCTGCCCGCCTAGAGATGAAAAAATAGAAAAGAGCTACGTACACACGTAGCAGCAAGCACACACGACCCCCTCCCTTGCGCGATCGAACATGGTACTACGTGTCCTACCACCGGCGCTGCTTACGCCAAGGTGATGTGGTTGAAGAGGCAGAGCCCTGCCAGCGCGGCCCCCAGCGTCTCCTGGCAATCGTTCCCGACGTCACCCCCAGCCGCGTCCCCGCCGTCCTCATCGTCTTCGCTACCGCTGCCGTCGACAAGTCCGTTCGGCTCGGCGCCGCCGCTTTCCGCCCCCCCTCTGTAACCCTCCAACCCGTGGTGCTTCCCGTCTCCGTCTCTGCTACTACTGCTGTTTCTCGGGCTGTAGCAAACCGAAACGCCGGAGTCGTAGGCGTCGTGGCCCGTGTACGTTCGGCCGGCAACGTTGCGAAATCCCTGGCTGTCAACCATCCCCGCGAAGCACTCCTGCACCTCCCGCCGTGTCTTCGCCAGCAGGCGGACGGGCAGGTAGGGGGGAGGACTCTCTCATTTATTGTGCCTGGCCCTTTTGTTTGGAACGTTCATGATGCGTCTAGCTTAGGGGCGTTTCTATCAGCCGGCCGACGCTTGGGGTCTCCCTTACTACAGCAGTCTGGAAACGAGCACCCAATCCTTTTTCCAAGCGCCCGCTCACCTGTCCACTTCGGCGAGCGCAGGGGGGAGAGTGCGGCTTGCCACCGACGAAATACGCCGACATGATCCGCTCCAAGGGCGACCGCAGTTGAGAGAGAGAAACCACAGTCGCGTCAGCGAGGACTTCTCTGTCTACGGCGTTGTCCATGAACCCGATAACCTGCAGATTCGGCAAGGTCAAGGCAAGATGCATCGAAGCGGATGGGCAACCCGGACAAACGGTCTTTGTACCTTGCCTTTTGTTGCCCGCCTGCGATCGCTGGCTTCGTGCGATACGAGTCTGATAGCACCGAAGAATTGGTGATGATGCTTGGATGAAGGTTGGGATGGCAATAAGTTTGGTGGTCAAGACAAGAAGAAGAACAATGCCATATTCCACCTATTGCAGCATCAGAGTTGTTGTCGCTACTCCACCTCTAAGGGCATTCATGTTCCGACCGGCCTCATGTTCGCCATCTCGTTTGTACTTCCTCCGGGGGAATGATGTACTCCAGCGTTGTGCACGCTGATCAACTCGGGCAAAAGGGAGGTGATACCACAAAAAAGAGTACGGTATTCCCGGGACACCTATTCAATACCCCTATCCGCAGCAGGTACTGTTCGTTCTCTGTAACAACTCAAGAACGGGGTTTGCCATTCTGTTGTCGTTTTCCACAATAACCTCTGAACCAACCTCAGCGTTATTGGGGGGAGGGGTGGGGGGGGGGCAAGGTCGCTAGCGAGATGGTGCTCCTAACTTCTCCTGCGCAGTACAACAGCAGGGGCATAGGAGACACGAAAAACCACACCCTACCTTGGGGCACAGCAGGCTGTCGTCCGGGCAACCCAGCGGGATGTCCCCGGGGAATCGACACTTGGGACCGCCGCTGATGACAAAAGAAGACTTCACGGGGCACCCTACCAGCCTCCTCGCGACTGTGCTCAGGTGACGGCTGCCCGTCTGCGGGACTCGAACAACCTACCACCGTATGGATTAATCGCTTGGATTCATCGTTTGGATTCATCGTTTGGATTCATTATTTGGATTCTTGGTGTTGTCGTCACGTGTTGGGTCACGGGCAGAACGATCAAGAAGCCAACTATTTAGTAGATCATCGAAACAAATCAGTCAAAACGAGAAGGATCCGCAAGGCTCTCCTCGTATCATGCAAGCAAGACGTTCGGCGATTGGGGCTTTCGTAATGCGGGTCTTGCCCATGTGAAAAGGGGTACCTATTTGGCGAGAACCGCACGGGCGGCGTGAGCGCACCGATTTTCCCCACGCGGATGCCTTAGAATAGAAACATGAGGACCCGGGTGTGAAACAATACTGCAGGCACGAAGATTTCGGTGTAGTTGCGCATGTTTCTGCCAAACCAAGGGATTTAGACGTCAAACATCAGGCGGGTCCGAACTCGTTCGGCAGCCCGCTGCCTAAATAAAACTGCTTCGAGCAAACTTCCTAGCGATAGTTTCAAGTCAATTCATATGAGTGAATGTCTTCGGCCAACCGCCTCCCCCAGCAGAAGTGTCCTGCGTGTTGTACTGCACCCATCAAGTGCTCCAGATGCATGACTATCTGTGGCATCTGCCTAAACCAAGCGTGAGAGGCACAAGTGCTCCGCTATGCTTGGGCGTTCCCACAACTTGCGCTGCTGTGACAGACCTGCACGGAGTCGAGGTGCCCATCAACCTCCCTCCCACGCGATGCGTCCGATGCCTCAGCAGATGACTTTGGTGATTTTTGACGTCCTTCGAAGAGAGTTAACGATAGCCGCAGAAAGCTGCCGGCATCCGCATCCAACGCTCCCGCCGTAGGATCCTGGTTGAGTGGTGAGGTGGAAACGTCGTTGGGGAAATTCCAGCCGTCAATATTTTGTTGGGCCAACAGCACCGCAAACGCCCCCGTTGAGATTCATTTGACGGCACCCTGGCAATCGCGGTATCCGTAGCCTGCATCTGAGGTCCTGTGTCGGCGCGCGGTAGGATCTGCATCGCATCGCTCATCTACACGAAAGTAGTTGCAAGGGAGACAACCATGAGACAGAGATAGCCAGCAGGTAAGAAAGGGAGAGAGGGGGGGAGAGGCATACCACGGGCCAGGCCTCAGACCGTCTCTGCTTGTATTGAGACACAGATATATGTGTCAAGGACGTAAGCGGGAATGATGAAGAGCCAAGAACTGCCACATGACATATCCCACCGGTCGCCCCGGCGGTCTAGTGGGTACCCTCGCAGCCCACTAAGGACTCGAACCCGCAGAGCAGAGTGAACTTTTGTCTCACCAGAATTAATCCTGGTCTAAGTTGCAAGCGACGCGCTGCAAAGCTCGTTGTGAGTAAACTCGATCGACTTCATGAGTCGCGAGGGAAGGGATTGTTGTACGGAGGAGCCGCTGCGCCCTACTACGTTTACGCGGCGCCCTCCGTGGCCCTCGCCAAGGCCTACCCGTTCGCCTGGAGAACCACAAGCATCGCGACAGCATCTACTCTACAACCATCCGGATGATGGGTGGCACCGCGACAGTGTCTCTTCTACAATCATTTGGATGATAGGTTGGGATATGATAGGTGGACATATCATCAGGATGATTGTAGAAGGGACACTGTCGCGGTGCTTGTGGTTCTCCAGGTGAACGGGTAGGCCTTGGCCCGGGTTGGCGAGGGCAACAGGGGGGGGG